AGTTTCCAGCAAAGTAAATATATAGCTAAGTTGATCAGTCCTCCAGCACAGTCCTTCTGGTTGTGTTTCCACAGGAAAATGAGGGTGGAGAGAATCACAAAAGCCTTGGCTCCAGTCCACCCCCATGGCCTGCTAACACAGGCCCAGCTTCACAGAGCACTGGGGTCACATTGCAGTTACTGCCAGAAGAGCTCCTTTCATTAAAATTGAGTAGGAAGGAGAACAGGGAGCCTTGCAGGGGGTTGGGGTTGGGTGGGGAAATGGTCGCTTCCTTCTTCTGACTAAGAACCAATGGTAGATTGTGTGGTTGTCTAACAATTACCTTGCTCCAGCACTTGGAGCCTTTCTTCATTCCTGGGGATACTACAGTGGTCCCCAAAGCAGCCAGTTGTTAAGTCAGGGTGTTCCCCACTAAGGCTATGATGGAGTTTATGCTCTAGTGAAACTTCTTAAACATTTTTGTGCTGTAGACTATATTGGCATAGCCTGTACTCCTATTTACACAATAACATTTTAAAATAAATAATCTAGGGCCTCCCCTGGTGGTGCAGCGGTTGAGCGCTGGGCTGCAAAGCTGCCTGCAGCCTCTGTAGCGCTGGTTCGATCCCCGGCCCCTGGGAGAGGGTCCCACATGGTGCACAGACTTCTCCTGCTGTGTCCGCTGCTCCCCTCAGCAGTGTGTTTCGTCGGTCTGTCTGTTCTGTTCCCCGCTCTGGCTCTGGTGAATTCTCTCACCCTCCCTTGCTTCTGACTGTACCCAGTGCTTGTATAATAAATAAATAAATCTTAAAAAAATAAAATAAATAAAATAAATAATATAATAAAAAGCATATAATTACAAATAAAACCAATTAGGTTGAAGTACCATTATTGAAATATTAGAAGTATTAACATACTGTTATAAAATATTTTTAAAAACGAATTTGTGACATAGCAATTACATGCTTCTCTGTTAACATGTTAAATAAGATCTAGCCCTCAGTTTAATAAATTACCTAATAATTATAACTTCAAGTTAATTATGAGTATAATAATGTTTTGAAATATCAGCCACAGCTTATGTGAAAGAAATCATTTGTGATTTCAATTGATGACACAGTTGCAGGCAGAGCTCACAATGCAGATGTTTGTATCTACATTCATAATGGAAGGCAGTGAAAAAGAAGATGAGGTGTGCTGCCATCCAAGCTCCCAGACCCCCTGGCATCTCTCCATGGACTCCTTGGTAGTTTTGGGCCCCAGGTTAAGAGCTCTAATAGAGGTTTACCTATGCTGATACATACGTTTATCACAAATATCACATTGCTTTTTATGCAACTTCCTATGATACCACCTTCAAAAAAAGTGTTGATTTAATGGTCCTCTGGTGATTCATAATCTAGAATCTCTGATGACAACAAATCACTTCACAATCTTAGTGTATAAGAGTGTTCAGAAAACTTATGGTTGTTAGTATTTTCTTTTTAAATTGGGATATGTAAGAAATACAGTGTAGTATCACTGTGTAGTATCACAGTGTAGTATCACTGCACCGTGGGTGCTCAGGAGAGGCAAGTCCAGTGGGACTTGCATGTAATTCCAGAGAGGCAATTCCAGAGCCCATCAAAGAGGACTGTTAAAGGCTAGTAAAACTTGCAAGTCAGGCAGAATTTCAGTAGAATCTCAGCGCTGCCACTCACATTTTGCAAGACATTTTACTTCTCTAAACTTCAGTTATCTGAGCTATTAAATGGGAATTAAAAGTATCTCAGTAATTTTAAGGGGTTAAGTGAGTTAAGGCAAGATAAAGTGCTAAATCAGTGATGTGAGAAAATGAGGACCAGTGACAGACCTGTCAGGTATCTCAGCCTCTCTTCTCTCCCAGATTCTTTCATGGGGCCTGCTCTAGCTCCTCCCCTTTAGTGCATGGGCCCTGGTTTTCATTGTGGACTCCGGGTCTCTTCAGTTCAGGAAGGCAGGAGAAAGTAGGAGAGGTTGCATGTAAGGTTTAAAGCATACCAGAGTAGCTGAAAACTATCTGGAGCCAGCAGATAAGAGTATAAGTCTGGTATCAGCTCTAAAATATTTTGTAGTTTTGGGAAATATCATACGGTCAGCCAGCCCCAGTTTCACTTTGCCAAGATGTCATGAGGGGCCGTGCAAAGAGCTTGAGAACTAGCAAGTAATTTTACGTAAAAGATTCATTCCCACCCATTTGGGCTGACTTCACAGACATGACTGATGGCCTTTCTTGGGAAACAATCATAGTCCTGTTTCATGAAAATATGGTGCTAATGCTGATCGACAGCTTCCTGTCCCTAAAGTGGATGACTACATCCACCAGCAATGTCCCATCTTCACTCTCCTTGGTTCCCACCTTATACTTGAAGATGCAAAAACTAAATATAAAATAAGCTTAAAAAATGAAACAGAACTCTGACTCCAAAGCACACAAAGATACACAAATAACCGATGGCTAGGCAAGGAGAGTTACATGTAGCTGCTTATTTTAGAAAGCCTGGCTTTTCGTTGTTATCCCAGAGCATGTAATTCCAGTGACATGCAAATCATTGCTTCCACCCATGGGGAAACTTTGCTTTTAGGTATCTTTTGTCACTTTTGGGGGATGTGTTTTCAAACTTAGAAAAAAAGTTATTAAAATAGAATAAGTGACTCTCAAATATACTTTATTGTGATCCATATATTATTTATATTTTGCCCCATCTGTTTTTATCACTCACTCTGTCTTTCACTTCCATTAGAGAGTGCACAGGAGATACCATACATTTGTATCTAAATATTTTAATATTTATACTTAATAATAAAAATATTTTCTAATAGAGCAACAGTGTAATTATCAATATCAGGAAATTTAATATTGATGCGATAATATTATGTACTCCATTATGTATATCAGTTTTCTTTAGATATCTCAATAATGACCTTTCCAGCTACCTTTCTTCCTGTGGATCTAATTCAGCAGCAACTTTTGCATGTTAAGTTGTTATATCCTGTTTGCTTTTAAAATGAAGGTTTAAATTTTTTTTAAGACATATTTTTACAAATAACAGGGCATCCTGAAGAGTATACAGTTTTGAAAAGGGACGTACCATTTTCCCTTAATTGACTTTGTCAAATATTTTTTCATTATTAGATATAGCATGTGCATTTTTGAATGGAAATGCCACAGAAGGGACATTGCATCTTTCTCACTTACTCATATCAGAAGCTACAGGTTGTTGGTTTTCCCATCATTGGTGAGGTTAACTTTATTCAAATTCATTTATTTGCATTTTTCAGGTTTCTCCATTGTAAAGGCGCCATTTTTCCCATTGATAATTAATAGTTTGTGAGAGATACTGTGAGACTATGGAATATCCTCCTCAAACTTTTACCCATTAATTTTGGCATCCACTGGTAACTCTTGCCTGAGTCAGTACTTTGATCATCCCCATATGGTAGTTTGTAAAATCTGTCATTTCTTCCTACATTTATTGGTTGGTTTTCTGCTGTATGTTATTGTGTGTGTTCGTGTGACACTTATGTTAGTGTGACACATATTGAATGGGTTGCAGTCTGTTTCTGTCAGCAAAGTTAGTTTGTCTGAGGATTCTTCAGGGAGGGCCCTTTCATGCTGGCTCAGGGTCCTTTGGACAGGTCTCCTTCATTGGTCAAATATAGCCCTAGTATATTCACTCTCTTGCATAATTTGCTGCCTTGCTAGTACAGAAATAAATTTTTAGTTCTTATATAAAGATGACTCATTTTACATTTATAGGAAAGAGAATGATTGACTTAACCATTTTATTTTAATTTGTATTTGACTTTTCAGGATTTTAAATTTTCCTTATGCCAGTTATAATTTCAGACCCTTCTTTACATTTGTTGATAGAAGAATAAATCAGACCAAAACCAAAATAAACCTCAACAAAAATATCTAACCAGGGCCTCCCCAGTGGCACAGTGGGTTGAACGCAGCGCTGTGAAGCAGTCTGCAGCCGATTCCCAGCTGGCCAGGGAGATGCCCACATGGCATGGCAGACCTCTCCTGTCCTGCCCATTGCTCCCCTCATCAGTGTTTTCAGTCAGTCTGCCTGTTCTGCTTCCCACTCTGTCTCTGGTGAATTCCCTCACCCCCCACACTGGGCCTCTACCCCAGTTCCTATATAAATAAATAAATCTTAAAAAAAATCTAACCAAGTTTATCTTCCTGGAATTGGAAAATAGTATGAGTTAATAGAGATATGCCTAAGACAATGGAGGGAAATGTGATATTCCATAGGTCACATAAGAAGGAAGAAAGCATTAGAGATTACCTAAATTTTTGGAAAATGGGGAGAAAAATGACCATAGTCACTTAGCATCTATTACAAAATTTTCTTTGAAAATATGTTTCATTATAATGGCGGATATACTTTCTTGATAGCTGAGCAGGGTTTTTTTTGTGTGTGTGTGAGTGTGGTATTCGACATACATTATGGCACATTTCTCTCATTTGTTTTGAATCATTTTCTTGATACAGTGTTGAAAAATGTAGTATTAGGTTACACTGATTTCATCAGTTCTCAGTAAGAAGCATTGTGACTCTTACCGAGTAGCAGTGTAACCCTGTCTGCTCCAGGTCACTTCATGAGCTGGAATAAAGCACACAAGGATTGAAGCAGATGCAGGGCACATGCAGATGCCACTGCAATGTGGCTTTTTAAAGCCTACATTTTGGGAAATTTCTGTAGAGGTTGCATCCATAAAGGAAACAAAAGGATCACACAGCAGAAGTTATGCAAATTTGGGGGGATGACCTTAGGTATGTTAATTTTTAAATCAAAATTTTAATATCTCTAAAATACGCCTGATAAAACTTACCTATTCCATAGGATATTTTAAGATTCAAAGAGATAGTGCATTATAAAATGTTTTGTGTATGACAGAGTCATGCTAACTGTGACCAAACTTTGCCCAAAGACCTTTGGAGACATTGCGTTGAGTGCTAGAAATTAAGTCTTCCTTTTCTCTCATCACAGGGATGGTTGCAATAGTAGAGATGGAACACTGAAGAACTGACTTAGAAAAATGCATCCTATGAGGCCCAATGAGTATTAAAGCCTTAGAGAATAATACTTCATACAAGCGGAGCATCACTGAATGAGCAGGTCTGCTGGTATAAGTGAGCCATACCACGGCGTCTCACAGCAAAACCCCCGTCAGTGGCCTCGCAACAGAAAAAGCATTTTCTTTGCACCCCATTCATCTTCCATTTAAGCACTCTCCTATTTCAGGTAAGCTTGCTAACAAAAGCCCTTGTGCCGTGCACTGCTCTCCATGTGCTCTGGACCTGCCTTCCACTTTCTTCTTGCTCACAGTCTACCTGTTCAGGAACTAGCCAGGTTTCCTTCCCTTAGTGTGAATGGCTGATGCACTCAATTAATTCTCCTAGAAGTGCATGCATTTTAGGAGGAGATCTTGGAGACTGATTGATTGATTCCCATCCTCATTCATTCAATAGGTATTCATGGAGCGCCTTTCCTGGGACAGGGCCCGTGTTAGGAGTTGGGACTCTGATGAGAGTCTCTGCTTTCATGGAGCTTCCGTGGTGGTGGGTATAAATAATGGATCAGTCATATCAGTAATAACAACTGGTAATAACAACAAGCCACACTGTTGCCGTCAGCCAAGCACTGTTCTATGTGTTTAACATGAAAAATACTGCTCCCTCCCCAAGATAATATGCATTATGTATAGATTGTTATTATTTCCATTTGACAATTTAAAAAAACAAGTCTTAATGAAGTTTAAGTAACTTTCTCATAGTTACTCCTTTGCAGAGGTGGACTTTAAATCTAGAATGTCTCCAGTACTCTTGGGTGGTAAGGAAAGTAGAAGGAATTGTAGGAATACCATCTAGCTGAGACATGGGGTAGAAATACAAAGGCTTCCTAAGGACATATTGTCTAAGCAGAAACTGGATAGATGAGATATATCCTAAGCAAAATGAGCCTCTGTGAAGCATTCTTGGTCTTTCCACAGGGCAATGGCAGGGAAATGGGAAGAGGAATGTTTGAGGGGCAGAAGGTCTATGCTGAGCTCTGACAGGTACTGCCACCAGGAGAAAGATGGGGTGGGGCAGCTAGAATAAAGAAAACAATCAAGAGCTCAAGTCTTCCCATACACCAAATTAGCCCTCCAGCTAAGAGGCAAAGCTGTGAGAGCTTAGGTATATGAATATTAACTACACAAACTGAAAATAAAGAACTAAAACCTCTATTAGTCTTTCCTCTCCTTCTTGGGGCTCCAGAGCACTGCTTCCAGGGCGAGGGGATGCCTAGGCCTGTGTGGCACATTGCTGGTAATGATGGGGCCGTAGTGGCAATGGGGAGCAGAGAAAGGGCACAGATCCAGAAAGAGCTAGAGTTCATTCCCCTGAGGCCCTCTTTTGTTCTTAAGTAGGGAATATAAAACATGAACAATAATAAAAAAAGAGAAAAAAATCATTTTTTACTTATAATTTGTATTTCTGAGCTGTTTGAGATTTTCTAGTGTGATGCCCTGGTTTTGCAAAAATGAAAAATCTGTTCACAGAAAGAAAAGCCTTCCCTGTGGTCACACAGCTAATTACTGGCATGGTGAAGCACGGGCTTCTGGTGTCCATCCACTGCAATGCCAGACTTTAGACTCCCAGATGGATAGACATTTGTATTGTGGACAGCTTCAATTCCTACCACTAGCAATAGATTTAAAAAGAGATTCATGTGAAGCCTACATTTTTGCTCAGAATTTTAACCAACTTTGCTAATGCAGAACAAGCATTGTGTGCTCTTGAGGGCCCCTAGCTTCACAGTGGCGTGGCATTTCTGCCTTTTGTTGGAATAGCACAGTGTAGGTGGAGATCATGAGTGCTCTCCTTTTGCTGTGAACCAGTGCTGCGGGAAGCACACACCCGAGCAAACACTCCCCCTGCCTGCTGGCCCAGTATTCACAAGTGAGACAGGAAAAACATACTGGGATGAGTGGATGACTCAGGCTGGAGGGAAGAGGAGGAGAGAGGACAACTACATCATTTCATTTTGTGACTCACGGGGCCATTTCTTCGAGTCTGTATTTCAAACAGTGCCAGTTAATTTTAAGATGTATATACCGTTTTGTGATAAATGGGACAGAGACCCAAAAGGACTAAAATTCAAAATGGATGTGAAGAACCATGCTACCAAGTGGAAATGTTGACAGTAAAGAAGAGGACATAAATCAGGAATAGGAGAAAGGAAATAATTAATAGTTATTTTCTAACAGGACCCCAGAACTGCACAGTGGGAGTAGCATAGGGTATAGCTGGAAAAACAGAAACTGTCTAGGTTTTTCAAAGAGGGTATTTAATAGAGGGAAAGTGCTACCCAAAATGATGGAAGAAATGAAAATTTCCTCTAGGAGATGGGGAGGAACAGCAGAAAGGAACAACCACAACTAGAACAGAAGGACAGCAGGAGGAAGTTGGTAACCAGAGCAGAGCATCTGGAGCCTCCCAGGAGAACTGACTTGTGGGAGATGGCATCTTGGAGGGAGGTTTCATGGAGGAAATCTAGAGGAAATGTGGCTACTTCAGGAGGCAGAGAGGGAGCAGAGAAAAGGAGAAATTGGGACTTTCTCTTCTTCCCATCAATCAACCTTCTGCTATTGCCTCAAACTGACCAGACATTAGGAAGCAAAGGACTGGGACCTAGGATATGTCATTCCATTTGAAAGACAGGAAAGCAGGGGAAGGCTGGGTACAGATCCAAAATCCCTCAGGTAATTGACCAGCATGTGGCACAGTTAATGCTAAGGTCGAGCCCTGCAGTGATCTCTGATAGGTCCCAATTGAAGCAGGTTTTCCTTTGGGACTGCTCTCACCAGGAGGTCTACATGTGTGCCTTCTCCTCTCTAGTGCCTCTGAAGTAAGCTCCAAGCTCATTGTCTAGTCACTCAGCTTTAGCGATTTCCTAAACAACTGCAGTGTTTGGGGCATCATAGTTAACCTCCCACTCACCCCAAGACCCTGCTCTGGATCTGCTGTATTTTCTGAAATGAAGACATTGCTCAGCTGTCCCTTAGAAGGAATCCCTCAGAAGGAATTCCTCCTTCTAAGGGACAAGGGAAAGGTCTGAACCCTCAGAGTCCTGATCCAATACAGAGTGACGGTCTGGTGACTCGTGCAGCCTCCTGTGGGATGTCCTTCCCCACCTCCACATTGGACCTCCTTGACACCACATCAGAATTTCCCATGTGGCACTGCGCCTGCGTCTGGAGGCTCTCAGCCAGGGGCAATGCAGCCACTCTTTGGCTCCTTGTTCTCCATGTCCTGCTTCATTGAGCTCTCACATCGAACTTTCCTTCTCTATCAGTTCTTTTTTTTTTTTTTTTTTTTAAGATTTATTTTATTTATTTATTTATTTATTTTGTTTTTTTTTTTTTAATCTTAAATTTTATTTTTATATTCCCCCATACAATTGCAAACGCCCCATTCTGACCCCAATCCTTCCCCTCCCGCCCCCCACCCCCAAAAAGTGTCTCTGGTTCATAGTTTTTTGTTGATTTTGATTTTCACTTTCTTATATTCATTTTCCTGGTCCCTTATTTAAGTTTTCTAGATTCCTGCTATGAGTGAGACCATCCGGTATTTTTCTTTTTCTTTTTGGCTTATTTCGCTGAGCATGATCCCTTCCAGTGCCATCCATGTTGCTGCAAATTGCATGTGTTTATCTTTTTTGAATGCTGAGTAATATTCCATGGTATATATGTACCATATCTTCTTGATCCAGTCATCTACTTTTGGGCATTTGGGTTGTTTCCAAAGCTTAGCTATTGTAAACAGTGCTGCTATAAACATAGGGGTGCAGGTGCTCTTTGGAATTGATGTTTCTGTGTCCTTTGGGTAAATACCTAGGAGTGGAATTCCTGGATCATATGGAAGCTCTATGTTTAGTAGGTCCAGAAATCTCCACACAGCTCTCCATAGTGGTTGGACCAGTTTGCACTCCCACCAACAGTGCAGAAGAGTTCCTTTTTCTCCACACCCTCGCCAACATTTGTTGTTGCTAGTTTTTTTAATATGTGCCATTCTCACTGGTGTGAGATGGTATCTCATGGTAGTTTTGATTTGCATTTCCCTGATTACAAGTGATGTTGAACATTTTTTCATATGTCTGTTGGCCATTTGCATTTCCTCTTCAGAGAAGTTTCTTTTTAGCTCTTCTGCCCATTTTTTGACTGGATTATTTTCTTTGTTGTTGCTGAGTCTCATCAGCTCTTTGCAGATTTTTGTGATCAGTCCTTTATCATTAGTGTTGGGTGCAAAAATGTTCTCCCAGTTGGTGGGGTTTCTCTTTGTTTTTGTTATTGTCTCTTTTGCTGTGCAGAAGCTCTTTAATTTGATGTAGTCCCAGCTGTTTATCTTTGTCTTCACTATCACTGCTTTGGGTGATGTGTCTGTAAAGATGTCTTTGATGTGCAAATCCCGTAGTGTTTCGCCTATATTTCCTTCTATGTATTTTATGGTTTCAGGTCTTATGTCTAGTTCTTTAATCCATTTTGAGTTGATTTTTGTGTATGGTGTGAGGTAGTGGTCAAGCTTCATTCTTTTGCATGTAGCGACCCAGTTTTCCCAGCACCATTTATTGAACAAACTTTCTTTGCTCCAATGCATAGTCTTTGCTCCTTTGTCAAAGATTAGTTGACCATAAATCTGTGGGTTTATTTCTGGATTTTCTATTCTATTCCATTGGTCTGTATGTCTGTTCTTGTTCCAATACCATGCAGTTTTGATGATTATGGCTTTGTAGTATAGTTTGAAGTCTGGGAGTTTGATGCCTCCATTTCCTTCTTTTTTTTTCAGTAGAGCTTTGGCTATTCGGGGTTTTTGGTGATTCCATATGAATTTCATCAATAATTATTCTATTTCTTTGAAGAATGCCATTGAGATTTTGATTGGAATAGCATTGAATCTGTATATTGCTTTTGGTAGGATGGCCATTTTAATAATGTTTATTCTTCCAATCCATGAGCAGGGGATGTCTTTCCATTTCTTTGTGTCTTCTTCTATTTCTTTTAACAGTGTTTTATAGTTTTCTTTGTATAGGTCCTTTACCTCTTTTGTTAGATTTATTCCCAAATATTTGATTTTTTTTGTTTCAATAATAAAAGGGGTGGTTTTTTTGATTTCTACTTCTTCAGATTTATTGTTTGTGTATAGGAAGGCTACTGACTTTTGCATGTTGATTTTGTATCCTGCCACTTTACTGAACTGACT